CGCGTTAGTTGACCTCTCTCTCTCTCTCACTCTTTCACCATTTTTTTATTTTATACATTTATTATTTATTTATTATTTAATTAATTATTACTTTCATTATTCTATTTCTTAAGAGTATTCCTTTTATATCTACTATTTTAGTTATTAATTACTTTTCATATTCATTTTTCGTTCATTCGTACATTTAAATGCGTTACTATACGAAGAAATACATACACACACACACACACACACACATCTATAAGAGAATATATGTGAAAGATAAAAAGAGAGAAAGAGATGGAGGTATGACGATGTGATGATGATGACGATAAAATCACGAGGAAATTCGAATCACGATCTATCCGCGTTATATTTATATGTGTGTAGAAAATGTATATATATATATATACACACATGTATATATATTTATAAGATCGCCACCAGTGAGCGCTGGGGTAGAATTTGCGCGAGTTTCGAAGACGATCGCGCGTGTTAAAACGCTAACTGTAGTATGTACAATTCTAAAGAATATGAGAAAAAGAGAAAGATGGTGAATGAGAGATAACACACAGAGATAAAAAAAAAGAAAAGTACAATTTTATGAACGTTCTAAACCTATAAAAAAAATTCTTTGAAAGATACGTTAGGAAAAATAAAACACATAGATAACAACACCGATTGATTCTAACAGTTCATATACGCGTACTTCTCACACAGAATATTTCAAAATGAAGAATGAAAATTAAAAAAAAAAAAAATGAAAGTATAAAAGAATTTTTTAATGTACGTTAATTGACGAGGAAAAGAACAGAGAACAACGAAGAACATGTGTTGTGTGTATGAGAGACAGAAAGAGACAGTACGAAAGAGTGAGAGAGAGAGAGAGAGAGAGAGACAGCGCGAATGCGCGTGACACACATATATAGATATATGATATAGATATAGATATACATATATATATAACTTTTGATCTCTTGTAACTTACCGATCAGCGGAAAGATACTCGGCTGGTCGAGTAGCGACTTGAGGCTGTTTTCAACTAGGGTTGGCGAAGAACGGTCCTTGTCGCTCATTTCACGCACTGCGCCACGAAGAAAACCGCACACTTCTCTTCGTTACGACGGGGGGCTCAAAACAACACACGCGCTTTTGCACACACTTCCGTTTATTTTATCTTTGTGGTATACCCCGTAGTGGTGGTGTTGGTGGTGGTGGTGGTGGTGGCTTATAGAAGAGCCCGCGTTAATAATCGGTGTATATAAGACACACACTTAACTCGACTCCGGTTTGCGGGATAAGGAAGGAAGTAAGAACGGACGGACAAACGGACAGAGACAGACAGACAGACAGACGGACAGACAGACAGACAGACAGACGTACGTACGTACAGAACGTACGAACGTTCGGCGCTGGTGGCCGGAGGTGTGCGCGCGAAAGAGATAGATGGATAGATAAAAAGATAGATGGATAGATAGATAAATAAAGACACACAGAGAGAGAGAGAGAGAGAGAGAGTGAGAGTGAATAAGGAAAAGAAAGAGAGAGACAGAGAGACGAGGAGGAGGAGGGTGCCGGTGCTACTAGTAATGCTAATGGGTTACTGCTAGTGGTGATAGAGTTACTGGTGGTGGGGTAGCGATAGTAAGCTTGTGTTGGTAGGGTAGTGGAGTGTTTGCGTTGTCGAGAAAGAGCAGGAGGAGGAGGAGGAGGATGATGATGAGGATGAGGAGGAGGTGGTGAAGGAGGAAGAGGATTTGTGTGGTATGGTAAATGAAAGATAGTAAGAGAAAGAGAGAGAATGAAGCAGCACGCGAAAGATGGGAATAGAGGGAGAGAGAGAGAGAAAGAGAGAGAGAGAGAGAGAGAGGACAGATGATAGCAAGTGAGCAAAAGAGAAAGATGATAGCGTTTGAGCGCCTGCGTGTTCCGCACTAAACGGTTAGCCGAGCTTGAAGGAACGACGACGACGACGGTAGAAAGGAGTTCCTCACTATCAACGGAATAAGAAATATTCCAGTATTTTCTTCGATAGGAATTTTTTTTTTTTTGTCAAGAAAATTTCCAAGAAGGTGAAAGAAGAATCAGAAGAGAGAAAGAGAGAGGGGGAGATTGAGATAAAAGTGTGACAAGGAATAACACCAAAATAATAATAATAATATTAATAATAATTATTGTAATAATAATCTTCGATAACGGTTTTAAAAAATTATGAATTAACAAAACTTCTTATTGATGGGACTCTTGTTCTTCTGTACGCGAAGGTCGACTCATCCGAGCGAGCGTCCGACACCGACCGTCCAATCGCGGCCCGTTCGAACGCCCTTCGAACTACGTTAAAATAAACGCGGACCTCTTTGGCCCCGTGCACCGGCACACGGTACTTCTAACTCCTCTCCACACTCCTCTTCCCTCCCACTATTCTATTCTCCTCCCTCCTCTCCCCTCTTCACCCCTACTCTCTCAATCTCTCTCTTTCTCTCTCTTTCTCTCTCTCTCTTCTCTTTCGATTTGTTCTTTTCTGTTGTACTGTGCTGTGCTTTTACTCCTCTTCTACTCCGTTGCTGCTGTTACTGCTGCTGCTACTGCTGCTGTTACTTTGCTGTGGTGTTATGTTATGTGATGTTATGTGTGATGTGTGATGTGATGTGATATGATGTGATGTGATGTGATATGATGATGTATGTGCTGTGTGCTCTTGAAAATCAATCTAAAAGTAGCCCGCTCCGGTGGCGCGATCTCTTGGATAAATGTTGGACCGACTCGTGGCCGAGCCTACGTCGCACTGATAACGAATTAAGCTTTTGCTTCTTCCTTATCGTATTGCGCGCGCATTCCAATACCGCCACAACTTCCCCCACTCTTCCTTATTACACTGTCTCTTTCTTTTTACTCTTTCTTTCTCTCTCACTCACTCACTAACTCACTCACTCTCATCATTTTATTCGTATATTTTATTACATTTGATAATATTGTTATTTAGATAAGTAATATTAGAATTTTTTGTATGAATTTGTATGTAAATAAATATTATTTATTAATCAATCTAATAAGATTATATTATGATTTTAATAATAATAATGTAATTCTTCCTTTTTGTTTTGTTTTATATTTTATCTCGACTTGTATGATTCAAAATTCTTTGGATGTAAACAAGGTAATATGAATTGTATTATCAAAATTAAAACAAAGTTTACTTTTTCATTCATTTTCGTACGATCGATTAAAGATGATTTAATATTAATGAATTACGGATTTGTTTTTACCTGGTAAAGTAGAAGAACGATATGAAATTGCGCGGGAAATGTTGATCGACGCGCCATCGATTAAAATTGAAACTAAATTTGATTTGAAATTCCACTATTGTTTCGGTTATTACTCGATTATACTTTCTCATCGACGTGACACCACTCACAATTAATATATTTTAAAAGATTTCATTATTTTACAACGTTTTATACTATTATTGATTTTATTCGATTGTTTTTTTTTCGAATTATTGATGAAATCAAAGTCGAAGTAAAAAAACTGCACAATCTCGATCGATGGGAAGCCATGTTGAAACTGTTTCGTAAAGTTCGACACATGCACCATCTATTGGATAATTTTGGTAGCTTGTAAAGCTATTTACCTACTTATTTTATTAATAAATAAATTAATATATTATTATATTCGAATTTTTTTTTCATTTCTAATTCATTATGCGTTTATTTTTAAAATAAATTGAATAAAAAAAATTGAATGAAATTAATTATTGATTCGATAATATTATTTATTTAAAACTTCGTTAAATGTTTAATATAATTATTTAAATTTATTATTATAATTAGATGATTTGTTAATAGTTTAATAATTAAAAGAAATTTTAAATAATCGTATTTAATGAAGCAGCATTTCATTTTTAAATATTTCATTGACAGTCTCGAAAAACGGGTTGCCTATCATTAGGGGCTTTCATATGAAATAAGAATGACAAGATGAAATAAGAAAATTTAACAATTTTTCTGAAAATTCCATTTTATTATTTAATGAATAAATTCAAATGACAAAGGTGAGAACATTAATATAACAAATTTTCCGAAAAAGAAGGTGAAAAATAAAAATTGTTACAATATATATATATATATATATATATATATATATATATATATGATTTAAATGTTCAATCATTAATTCTATTGTCCCATCATTTGTTTGAATAAACTTGTATTGAATAAATGAGAAACACATCGATAAAAATTTAAACAATTTTACGAATATATTAGTACACATATGTATACGTATATTATATCTTAAATTTAAAATACATAATTTATGAATGACATCACACACACACATCTCGCATAATCTTGATATGTAATATTGTAATTATTAATCATTATATATATATATTATTATTATAATTTTTGTAACAATCCGTGAATATTTTCAAAAATTTTTTTTAATACGAATTAATTTTCACCAAAAAAAAAAAAAGAGGAAACCAAATGAAAATAAATTACAATTAGTTGAATCATAAATTTTGAAAATATTAAAAATAAATGCATGCGCAAATGCAATTAATCGCATAATTATCTTATAATAATATTAATATTAATAATAATTATAATAATTATAATAATAATAATAATAATAATTCTAATGCTAAATTGTATACATGAGAAATTCGACAAATTCTATATAATGATTTTTAATAATGATTATTACTTTTCTAACGATTACATTTTCTTTTTTTTTTAAAAGGATATAACATGAAAATGAATTTTCGCGCAAGATCATTCAACAAACTTTGGATTAACATTAATAATTAATATTTATAATTAAATTGTAATCTTCCATCAAATATCTTTCACACCATTTAATCAATCGAAAATTGTTTTATCAATCCATTACAAGTTTTAATTTTAATAAACAAATCTTTAAATTATTTTTCACAATTCAAATAATATACACAAACACATAATGCATGAATCGTTCCATTAAATATATATATATATATATATATATCTATGTATACGTCATATTGTATTAAAACACCATAATAATTAGATAATATACTTGTACGATTTTAGCTTGTGGCAGTCAAAGTAGCATTTTTTTTTTAATAAACAATAAACAAATTATGAATTATTAGAGAGACTGTTTATGTGTAGAGTCGAGATTTCACACATGTGTGGTGCTTACGTATATCAATTAGGTTGTCAATTATGAAATGGGACAAAAAATGCATATAATTGAATTCGATTTTGCCCCATTTCATACTTGACAATCTAATACTATAATTAAAAAAAAAGAAAAAGAAGACAAATTATATTTACAAAAATATATGTATATGTATAAAGAAATAAGAAAAAAAGAGATAAGATTCAGATCTCTTTTTGTTGTTGTTGTTTAATGAAAACAATCTAGTAGGACATAATTAATTAGACAAAATGTTAACATATAATAATTAAATCTTATATAAATATAAATAATTGTAAATCACTTGTTATTGGAAGAAATAGTCTCTCTATCTCTCTCTTTCTCTTAAACAAGACGAGATTAATAACATCAAGACTTAAACGAACAGAAAAAAAAAAAAAGAAAAACTAAACAAATTGTACACTTAAAAAGTAATATAATTAATTCTACAATAAAGTAATATTAAATTTAAACCCAAACGCTTAAAGATTCGTTATTGGTTTGATTGGTCGTAAAATTGGTAGCACTGTGTCGTTTAATAAGTGCTTGTATTTCGGTTGGATTAGAAGACCATCGTCTATGTGCAACTTTATCAATGGGAATCTCAGGTAAACCAACTTCCGTGTGACAACCTTTGATAGGTGATACAGGTGAAGTTGGTAAACCAACTTCTTGAAATGAGCTCATAGATGAAAATCCACTTTCATCGTCAGCACTACTAACGCTGTTTGCCAATTTAGCTCTAACAGCTCTAACCATGAGATCATTAATACCACCACCACCACCATTATTATTATTGTTCATTCCTTTTTTATCAATACGTTTTTGACATTTGTTTAATGGCGTTGACGTATTGTTTACAGTATTACAAATACGTTGTTCATTACGGGTATTATTATCAATTGTATTATCACGATTGGAAACAATTATTTGTTGTTCATCATCTTCCATTGTTTTATTACTACTACTAGCAGAATTATACGAAGATGCATCTACAGATGTTCTAACACCTGGTAATAAATTTTGTATATTACGATTAACATCCGTATTACTTGACGATGATGACGATGATAATAATTTCGATTGACAATTATCTCGATTTTGATATTCCAAACAATTAGTTTCATTATTAATAAGTTCACGTTCATTTTCATCGATACATCTATTACTATCATCATAATTGTCGTCTTGTACAATAGACGTGTTCATAAAATTGTCTCCTTGTGACATTGAACTGTCGTGACGATGATGATGATGATGATGATGATATTGATGATGATGATTATGATAATGATTATTAGTTGGTGATGGTGATATTCCACTGTCATCGTATGGTGATACTCTTGATAAATCTGGTTCTCTCATTGATAACAATGATTGTACAGTTCTCATTAACCTGTAAATAATAATAATAATAATAATAATAATAATAATAATAATAATAATAATAATAATAATAATAATAATAATAATAATAATAAATTAATTAATTATCAATAAAATAACATTAAAATAATTAAAATAAATAATTAATTTAAATATGTATTACCTAAATGCTTCTTGAGACAATTTTTCCGGTGGTACGTCATCAGGATTTAATTCCATTTGTTTAGGTTTCATATATGATACATCGTCCGCCATTGTTTTTTTCTCATCATGATAGGATTGTTCACATTGTTGTCCGTTATTATCGAAATTTGAATTTTGATTACGACGTAAAACGGACCATGTGAATTCACGAAACGCTGAACCACCTGAAATCTGATTGACCGATTTTGCTCGAGTAAAACGAGATGATGCTGACGATGAACCAGATGACGACGATGACGTTGTTGAATTGCCACGATTAGGTGAACAATCGGTTGTATCGACTGCATGAACGCTTCTACTACGTGGTACACGAGCATTACTTTTGTCCTTGGAATTGTTCTTCTCGTGAAGAATAATCAGGCTCTTGTGGGCTCGGTCCAAAAAACGTGCCACTTCTTCCATCAATGATCGATACATTTGTTTATTTGATTCGATCTATAACAATTTTTATAATTAATATTTATATATACATATGTATATATATTTTTTGTTAAAAGATTAATTATTGGAAGAGAGAAAAATGGATTAGAAAATTATTATAACTGGATCAACAGGAAAAGAAAGAAAATCACAATTTTTATATTTAATTGTGCTAATAATTATGAAAGTGCTTTTTAAGTCAAAATTTAAAAATACAATTATTTTATCAGTTATTTCACGTATCACATTATTTTTAAATAAATTCATTCAATATAATATTTATGATACTATTAACAATGATTTGTAAGTTAAGTATTTATTTAATTTTAATATAAATTAAGTTAGTTATTAACTTAATATTTGTTATTTCAGCATTATATTGAAATTTATTAAATATTCATATATTTCAAAATAAAAGATACAATTATGAAAGTAGTCTAACAAAGGTGAGATATTAAAAGAAAATAAATTTATCAATTATTTAACAATACATTATTTTAAAATAGATTAATTAGATATAATATTTTTGATTTTATGATAAATGAATTGTAAGTTAAATACTTGTTATTTCAACATTATATGAAATTCATTTAATATTCAAATATAATCCTTTCAAATATTTCAAAATAAAAGATACAATTATGAAAGTAGTTTAACAAAGTGAAATATTAAAAGAAAATAAATGTATCACTTATTTCACACCACATTATTTTAAACTAAATTAATTCAACGTAATTTTCATGATATTGTCAAAAATGAACCATTAAATAGTGATTGTTATTTGAACATTATATGAAATTCATTTAATATTCAAATATAATCCTTTCAAATATTTCAAAATAAAAGATACAATTATGGAAGTAGTCTAACAAAGTGAAATATTAAAAGAAAATTAATTTATCACTTATTTCACATCACATTATTTTAAAATTTAATTAAATATGATATTGAAATAACAAATAGCTATCTAACGTGTCATTTTTCATAATATCATAAATATTATATTGAATTAATTTAGTATTCAAACATAACCTTTTTAAATATTTCAAAACAAAAGATATAATTGTGCCTATAATTATGAAAATAGTTTAACAATAATTCAAAATTAAAAACAACCATTTGTTTATTAATTAGTTCACATCACATTATTTTCAACTAAATTAATTCAATATAATATTTACGATATTATGAAAAATGATTCATTAGTTAAATCTTTGTTATTTTAACATTATATAAAAATTCATTAAGTATTCAAATATAATACTTTTAAATATTTCAAAATAAAAGACACTATTTTAAATATTAAAAGAAAATAAATTAATCAGTTATTTCATACACAGCATTATTTTAAACTAAATTAATTCAATGTAATTGTCAAAAATGAACCAATTAATAGTGACTGTTATTTTAATATTATACAGAATTTATTATAGTGTTAAAATTATTTATTCAATTAAATATTCTCTAAACAAGAGATATAATTATGAAAGCAGTCTAACAATACATCAAAATTAAAAGGAACTGAATTCATCTGTTATTTCATATTACATTATTTTAAACTAAATCAATTCAATATAATTTTCACGATATTGTCAAAAAATGAACCATTAAACAGTGTTTGTTATTTCAACATTACATAGAATTCATTTAATATTCAAATGTAATCTGTTAAATATCTCGAAACAAGAGATAATATGATTTAAACCAGTTTCATAATATTGATCACAATTAACCGTTTATATTTCAATCAAATTTGAAATCATATTAAAAATACTCTTAATGTGCACATTAACTAGCCAATCTCCAGATTAACTGATTAGTTCATTTTATCTAGATAATTTACACATTAACAGTTAAAGGGTATCATTAAAAAAGTTGTCCCAGTTGTAGAAATATTTTTACGTCAAACAACGATAAAACAATCCCTTGGTATCCTGGGCATGGTTTTCAGAAAATGTGACTACAAATCTAAATCTACCACAAATAGATATACTCATTGTAAAAAAACCAATTTGTTACGTGATTCAAAGTTGTCACCGATCTTTAGATTTACCCTAAATAAGCAAAGCATAAATTTAATCATACGTTTTTGTCAAAAAAAAAAAAAAAGAAAATCATTTCCATAATCGTAATAATTATTTTTAAAACCGTTATCATTCTTTCTATTATAGTTTTTTTTTTGTTTAATCGATCGATGATCGATTCTATCAAATTTAATTTTGTTCGATCCGTTCGATCGTATTAAATTGATTCTTTGAATATCGAAATATAAATAAATAACGTTATGTTAATTTAAATCGTAGATAATACGTTGCTGTTGTTACAGCAAAAGATTTTGATTTTCACTTTAACGAGTACCTAAGTAGATAATGTGCGAATTATCTAAGATAATTTGAGAAATGAAACATGTTCGATCACCTTAGTTAATCTACACGTTATTTAGATAATTTGTATAATAATTGATAACAGTAAGATACATATGTTTACAAAAAAATGATCAAACGGATTGAACGTAATGATATTCGTGAGAATGTCGTATACAAGGACGATAAGGATAAAAGACGAATTTAACACCGGAACGCGAAATCAGGCATGAACGAGGAAGGAAAGACGAGAGGGAAATCCGATTAAATAACTGTGCACTGTTGGGTTAGTTGTACCGGTTACAATTTACAACGAGCTCGATATCGAATAATCGGAGCAAGGTGAACAAGTTTTGTTTGAAATGTTATCAATCTTTTTATACATGCCTTTTATAATATTTTTCAAAGTTAATAATGTAATTAATAATATTAATGGGTATTATTGATTATTAGTATCAATTGGTATTAATAATAATGAATGGTAATAATAATGTTAATAATGTAAATAATGATATTAATAATAATGAATGTTAATATTAATGTTAATAATGTCAATTAATAATATTAATAATAATGAATATTAATATTAATGTTGATAATGTAATTAATAATATTAATGGGTATTATTGATTATTAGTATTAATTGGTATTAATAATAATGAATGGTAATAATAATGTTGAT